AATTATAATAGTGAATGGTTTATCCTGTCGAATGCTTTAAAAAAATCCACGAAGAGACAATCAAATTTACCACCCCTTTTTGCCAAATACTTCTGCACAATAGCATAGAAAACAAAAATATTATCTATAGTACTGTGATTTTTTCGAAAACCCGATTGACAATCGGATAAGTCGCCATTATATTCTGTCCATTAACTTAGCCTTTCATTTAGGATTGCGGTGAAAGAAATTCCTAAAACATTTAATAATGATATCCCGCGGTAGTTGTTTACACCCCCCCCCCCCGTGTTTACATATGGGAATCGCAACACCAGATGCCCACTCTTTCGGAAAGTTACCTAAATTGTAAATAAATTTGAACAGAAGGGCTCGAACAGGAACAATAATTGGGGCCGAAAATTTAAAAAAAAAAATCATTTGGAATTCCATCGTCACCTAGCGCTTTACTATGCTTGAGTTTATTTAAACTTTTCAAAATGTCATCCTCCATAATTTCTCCGTAATTTCAACCTCACCATTATTTTGGACGGCTAACCCTGGAATTCCCCCATGTAGGGCTGTTTTTTTCAACTGAATTCATGAAAACATGATTCCCGATTTGTCATGACATGACAGGTGCATTATGGTAATTATAAAAATAGTGGGACAAATGTGAATCAGTGACAAATATTTTCTATTGACGTTTCCATTTGTGATATTGGAAGCAAATATCACTTCTTGGCTTTTAAATTCAACCCCAGTTGACTGCCAAGTTTGTTTACATTCTACCAGTGAGTTTATTACAAAATGAGCGATGGAGTTAATGCTCGTGTTTCGCAAATCAGGGGGTGAGTGTTGTCGATTATATTCTGGCAAGGACTTCATTGTTTATTAATATATTGAACACTTTGTAGTTGAAAGTATTGATTTCCTGTAAATGCAAACTTTTCGTTTTTTTTACCGACACAGACATATCGGTGCGATAAATATCTTTGCAAAGCCAATATTGCAGAAAATGTCATAAATAAATTGCGTGGCGATGAAGCAAGACGTTTGCTATCAATAAGGCTTAGTGTACTTAGACAATTTCATATCTTGATCTAGGAATGACTTAAAAATTCCGTATATATCAAGAAATCAAATAAAAGATTAAATTGAAAACACATGAAGAAAAGACAATTCTACTTTAATTGGATGAATTTCATCCTACCAATGACGCAAATCATTGTTAATTTTAAAACAAATATAAACGTTTGTGTGAAATTAAAAAAAAATTAAAACTCGAACAGCAACATGATTTGATAAATTCGTGATGATGAATCAAAAAGTTGGCATAGTGTTAGATCTTATTAGTTGGATCGTAGAAACAACTAGAAAATGGCTTTATAATAAAAAATATGGTGAATGGATGACGCAGTATTTCATTATTGACATGTTACTTTTCCAGAATATGCTCATGACAATGATAGTGAATGATTATTGTGCACTGAAATTCATAACATATCGGTGAACAAATCTTCTGAACCTAATAAAGCATTAATTGGATATCCGTGCTCCCTACTTGTACAAAGCGTTTAGCGATGTATTTGACTTGGGTGTGTGTCCTTTATATTGAATATAGGGGAGACATTTATAATTCTTCTTTTTTGTTTTTAAATAATCCAGATTGGATATTAACAATTATAAAGCTGTATGTTTCTGTGTATTAGTAAAGACAAAACAACAGTTCAATGGGTTGCAGATTACTACATTATTGTAGAGACACAAGCGTGTTTGGGTTTCCGTAAGGGGTATAATACATTAGATAACATCACATAAAAAAGGAGTTAAGAGTATGTTGAATACTGAAGTATTTTGTGGAGAGTGCCTTACCGACTATTTTTGCTGTAATGTAGAAACCAGACAGGGTTGCATATTAAGCCTTTTCTTATTTTGTGCTTTTCTTATTTTATTTATATGGTCTGTAATGAAGGAATGTATGTAAGAAAGATCATCCATCTATTATCATTCCGATGATGTAGCCGACATGGCTGACTCACCAATTAATTTGAAGCTCAAACTGAAACAACTTAACAGATTCGGTAACCATTTGCACATAAAAGTAAATTTAAATAAATACAAAATTTTTGGGTTTTTTCGAAGCTACGAAAAATGAATGTTTGATGGTAAAGAAACTGAAACTGTTCAGCACTATAATTGTCATGGTCTCTTGCAAAATTAAATCTGAAGTTGAAGATAGTAAAGGCACGATTTCCTATTTGTACTCTTCTCCTTGTCAGATGCTTTTAAATTGTTTCACTCTGTGGGCCAAGGCCCAAAATTGCAAATAAATGGTACTGAAAGTGAATCAAAATTACATAAGTTATGCCCAAATATAAACTGATGACCCATCATTAAACAATGTTTCAGAAAATCCCATCCAGCCGTTTATTCAAACGGATTGATGAGAAAATGACAGAAGATCGAAAATATTGGAACCCTAAAACTAAAGGTTTATTACCCCATATGAACTGTACTTACCCGTTTTATTTTGTTTGGACACATCTTCTTGGTATTTACTTCAAACTACAATGGGTTGATAACAAACGATGACAAACTAGCGTTTGTGGCACAGACTTTCAACATTATTTTATGTACTTGATGTAGAAGGCTTGCTTAATGACAAGTGATCGTCACATGGTTGAGTTAAGGTTGTTTAGAATGTCAAAACCTGTAACATGAAATACAGCATAAGCTGGTTGTGATGTTATAAAAAGTTGATTGAACATACATTAAAATAGAGGGAAAACATTAAAGCAATAGGGATTTGCTTGGAATGTTTTAATATAAGACTGCAAAGTAGACTGTGTTAACTGGAAAGTTGGAAATGTTCAATGGAAAGTTATACAGGTTGATTGCAAAGTTGGCTAAAACCATGGGAAAGTTAATTGTGAAGTTACTTGGATGCAAAATGGATGTAATGAATACTTTAAAATACTTTAAAATCGTGATTGTGAAATTTTTGAAAATGCCACTCAATTGACTTTTTAAATTGGAAAGGTTGGTCGCAAACTAGTTCATGTATCATATTTATATGTGAAAAACCACGTAGAATGCAACCTTTAATTACTAGTCAAGTCACTCACCACGAACCTATTGGTGGGGTCAAGGTATATGTAATCGTTATTCTAATTTTCAGTCGGATGACTCACTACGACTTGATTCGTTGAGATAATTTACATGTAGATATTATTTTCACGACTGTTTCAACTTCTAAACTCTCAACTCTAGCAGTACTGGTTCAACGTGGCGGCCGTAATAACCCCCACACTTGTCTAAAATGACGCAACTCTTTAAGGTAAAACCAGATTTCCAAATGCGTCTTCAAGTTTTTACCGCTTCCTCAGAGAAATTGGATTACCAATCAATAATTTCAGTGTAGTTGGTCGCGGATGCGCTTACAAGCAAATTTGCAGAGTAATTTGTATCGGGCATGCGTCTGGACTTCTACTGCAGCTTTTCCGCTTTCTATATGACCATCCGTGATTTCGAGTGGTTTTAATATCAAACCGAAGTAGTTTGTCAACCTCATATCAGTAACAATATCCATGAAATTAGGGACACAATGGTTAATTTTTTTTCGGCTCTTACCCAATTTGTTTGTGATAGCACCATGAATGGCTAACAAACACGGGACAGTATCGATGATACACACATTTTCGGCGATCAACTTTCTTCTGATCTCCTTCAAATAAATACTTAGCTAAGTCTAGTGTAATCCTGTGAGTTGCCATACGTTGTCAGTCATTTTCACGCTTTCCGACAGATCACCAGTGACACGTTCAATTTCACCAGTTGAGGTGAATTTATTACATATATTATACGCGGTGGATTTCGTTACACCAACTACGTCAGCGTAAGACATTTCGTCCAAATCACGAATCACAAACAGGGTCGGCAATCCCTGTTTATTCCGCAACATGATACCTGGGCATGATACATGCGTGTTCGGATATCAGCAACTTGATATATGGTTGCGTCACGAATTTATCAAAACAACTTGAAATTGTAACAAAACAACTTCAGTAACATTTAAAAACCCAGCTAGTACTGTACTAGCAATGTTGATAATAACTTGAGTTACTGTAGTGTAGCAACATTCACATAAAGGGCTCATACCACTAATTGAATTTCCATAGACGACAATGTTAACATATGACGGGATTGCTATATGAAAATGACGAAGAAAGTTGAAAATATGGCTCAAAAATGGGAAATCAATATGCCAGTAATCAACCATATGAAAAAAACTAACATGTTGGCCAGCTCAAACTCTTGCAAATCTCAGGTAAACAAGACACACCTACTGTATTTGGATTGCACCAAGAGAAATCACTGGAAAACACCAAGATTAGAACATCCATTAACACACAGAATAAACCCACAGGTACACAGCCGCTAAGTAGTAAACAAAAGACCACATGTTGGTCTCACCTCTGACCCAGGTGATTACGCCCTCAAACAGGGAGCACCTGAGAATAAAAATATTTAAAAAATTTCATTGGTTCTTGCTAGGCATTTAAATTGAGCAGCCATTGGTTAATTAGTGGCATGAGACCTAAACAAGTGTCTTGTTCAGTTCTGTCGATCTTGTAAAACATACATTCGTTTTACATTGACCTTATCGTATGCGGCGCTCTGATTTTCAATGATTTCAGGGTAGAGGGCGCAATACGAAAACGCACAAGTGAGACACTGGTGGGCTAATGCTAAGAATGAAGTTTTGTGTATTTCGTTAATACAAACTGTAAAAGGTAAGTTTCCATCGAAATATGATTTTTCTTATCATGCTTATTGTGTAAATAGTTTTAATTCAAACTTTTGCTTTGAGTTCGGAATATTGTTTTTTTTTTTTTTTTTTATTAGCCGACCAGGCCCTGATGAAAGCTGGTTGTAACCAACTTTACCTTGTCCAGACCTGATCTGATTCACTGCGCAGGATTTAATGTGAACACATTGTTTACGACAAAAAAAGGTCAGTATAGAAAGCGATGGGGAAACACACAGTTTACTGGGTCGTCCCAGCTTTACAGTGAGTCGGTTTGGCGACAGGAAGCTAACGACTGCATCGTGGAACATCTCCGGCTGTACCTAAGGAGGCGGTGCCATCGAAACTAATTATCCCCGTTGACTTTATTTTAGCGCCGAACATTTGCAGTTTGTATTTCAGATTTTAAAAACTATGTTCGCCATATCCAGTAGATGGATTGTTCGGCTGGCTCCACGTTCACTGGTAGGTCATATATATCGGGGTCATAGCCGGTCATAAAATTATCTATTATCGTTGCATGGTCGCAATCGTGTAAGTTCGCCATGGCTTTCGTGATAAGATCTATCAGGCGGTGTAGTAGGGATTATTCCGTTCGTAATATCGCAATTACACTCATTGTAAAAACTGGAATGGGTTTATTCATTCCAGATCGTTCCAGATCTAAGTAAACACGTGTCACATGGTTTGGTCATCCATTGAATTCTGGCGAACAACAAACCTTGACCTTTGACACCAATAGAATAGAATAGAATAATGCTTTATTAATACCGTAAAGAAAGAGTTAACATTTCCTTTTAGGTTTTCAGATTAATAAAGTAAATAATAAAAGTACATGAAATGTAAAAATTGATTTAAAAAGAATTCAAAATTAGTGAACGACAAAAATACTACAGACAATTATTAATAATATAAGAAATATTAAAATACTGTGATATGTAAGTATCACTGTATGTAGCATAGAATATGTAAAAAATATAAAAGAACATGACAAAATAAAAGAATTAGTCTTGTTTAGATTTAACTAAATATTTGCAGAGAGTGATAAGATGGTTTGTATTTGGTGACTGTAGTACAAGTTTAAATTGTTCTTTTTTGTTCAAGTTTTGGTAATCACTGTTAATTTCTTTAAGGATATTATATATGTCATCTCTGTGTTCTGTGTACAGTTTACATTCTAGTATATGATGTAATTCATCGTCTATCTCTTTACAGTGGGTGCATAATCTGTCTTTTATCAGTGTTTTGGGTTTTGTGTACCTTCCTGTTTCTATAGCTAGTTTGTGACTACTTGTTCTAAATTGTGCTAGTATTTTGATGTAATGTCTGTAATGTCCAATATGTTATTGACTCATCACAGGGAAAAACGTCAGTGTATTTTTGCCTGTACAAAACTTAATTTATTTTTGCTGCTGGTAGGTAAAATAAAACCTTGTTGAAACATGACATGCCGTAAAATTGCGGTATTGCACTGGGTATTTTCATCCTATAAGGCAACGTGAATTCCAAATATACCTAGAACGTTCATGCGCGTAAGTGTCCTCTAATAATAATAAAAAATAAACATGGCTGCCTCAGGGTTTGACCGGACCACATACAAATAGGTTCACTAAATATGTTGTAAACATTTTGGCATTCCCATGATGTATTCCAGGGAGAAATAAAAATGTATAATAATAAGGTTATTACTAAGATACTGCAAAGTATTCACTCATACAGTACGTGGTCACATCAACCTCCGCTGGGCATCGTTGGATACTCCCTCTGTACTGTCTTTGTTCATACTTTGCAGTAATAACCTAATATAATTATACCCTGACAATGCATAGTAAATGCATGTATACATCCAGTCTCTTGTTTGTTTTTTAGTGTTTAATTACTATCTTATACTAAAATATGTTCCGGTCCGGCTGGACAATGAATATTTATTTTGAGATATAATTTTTGGTATGTGTTGGTTCTTGGATATTTCATCTTCGTTGTCCTGTACTTTAATGTTGAATAATTTGGACTTCCAAGATTTGGTAAAAATGCCTGGGCTAAATAGTTTCTTGAGAAACAGACGCTTAGGTATATGTACTCTAACTTGCAGCACATGAACCTAAAAGCGTTAGGTAATATCAAACAAAAAATTACTTTGTATTAAATTACGTTCAAGGTATTCATACGGTTTTCTCCCTCGCTTATTATGACATCCTCAAAAATGAGTATTTTCTGTTCCCCTCAAGGGTAAACAATGCTTCAGTGCCATACCTTGTGCTAGGATTAGAAAGTTATATTTGGCCTTATAATTACATTTTGGTGGTCGTCACTGCCCTGTAATCTTGCCGTAACATTTTGGTCTCAATTTACGTAGCTATCGCTGAGGAAATTAAAAAAACCTTTCATTTTTTTCGACTAGTATGCCGGTAATTCCTATTAGCATAACAAAACTTTTTGCTTTTGTCACATTTTTAGTCCCCC